CTTTCTCTCCTTTCTTAAGGATTTCTTGGAATAAGGATCCTTGTACACCTCAGCCATTTTCTCCTCGTCCAACAGTTTTCATGACCACTCCGGATATTCCTCATATGGCAATGCCATTGGATCTTTGCCTTTACCATAAAACTCAGGCCTTTTAGAATACTTCCCGCGGTTCACCCGATTTGGGTCGAAAGCTATCTTCCAAAACTTACCCGGGCCAAGCATCTCCGCGGCAGCAACGACGTTCAATGCAGTAGACGCACTCACATACAATCCTTCTTCATCTAACAGACGATATACCATTTCAATGCTTTTTTATCCGGTATTTGCATGGCATCATCCATCGAACCGATATCGTCCTTCAAGTTGTTCGTTACTCTTCCTTGCCCTATTTCCTCCGTAATACTGGTTAAAATTGGTTGGATACAAGTTCCTGATTGGTTACTTTGAATTTTCGCTCCGGACTCATAACGATTCCCGTTTCCTAGTGGTATAACACGCTTCCAGGCAGATCGGCCAGAAAACATTTAATATTGGGATTTTTCTCTTTCAAAAATTTAGTAACTCCGGCTAAAGTTCCCGCAGTACCAGTAGCACACGTAAAACCGTCGACAGTGCCGCCGTCTGATCCCATATCTCGTTTTACAATGCGCATGACGATTGCTTGTGTTATCAAACTGATTGATCCATACAGCGTCCGACAGTTTTTCTGCATGTCGTTTGGCTTGGTGGTTATAATTTGCCGGATCTTCAAATGGGACTGCAGGAACCGGATAAACTTCAGCGCCTTTAGGAAATGAAGAATGACGTCATGAATGAAAACTGCGAGCTTGGGAAAGTAGTAAAAGCAAAAGAGTTTTCCAATGAATTATTCTACCTAACATTCGAAGCAAGTCAATTTTTTCTTGACGTTGCGTGTTCGGCATGTATATCACGCATTTATACCCTTTTGATCGGAATACGTCATTTCTAAAGCATAGGTTATACTAACTTGTCTCTTGAAATTAGATATATGACATTTTTCAACGCTTCGATAAACTAGACGACCGAATTTCAACGTTTCACCAACAGTGATTTGAAAATAGTCGATTTCCGTATCTATTTCCTTCCTTGTTATTGCGCAGTGCATAGAGGAACAGAGGTTTTGCAACGGATCTTCCAATAGTGCAATTCTCCTGTGCGATAGAACTGAAGCATGTGACAGAACGCGTATCTGTCGCGGTCAATAAAGTATTCGTTGCCGTTGGTCGGATGGAGGAGAGCCGCATTGCGGGGCTGAAACATGCGGCCGATCCACGACAGGAGAATTCAAACAAGTGGACTCCAATCGTGAAATTGTGTTTTTGCTCTCGGATGAGAAGGAGCTACAGCAGAAGTTGAGTGAACAAAGCAAACGCAAAGCCGAGGAAGAATTCAGTAAGAAGAAAAGTAGAGTAGTGAAAAGGCAGAAAAAGATAACAACACTATATGACTGCCGGAAATGGCTTTTAACGTGTCATGCAAATTGCAGTCTTCACTTACTTTATACAGACTCTGACTAATTAATAAAATTGTAAAGTAACGTTGTGTAAATATAATTGTGTTGCGTATTGGTGTATTAGAATTCTGGAGGAGTAGTTCTCATGGTAACTTTGGTAAACTTAGGCCAGGAGAGCTCCCGAACCCTCCATCGAAATTCTTACATTTTTATGATAAACTCTACAGCCTTTGGCACGCCTATTGCATCCAATCGCTTTAAGAGGAATAAGCGCTATACGAAAATTGTATATCGATTTCACCCCATTCGTCTTCTTTAAACGCACCTGTCTCTTTATCTTGGAGACTGGACACATACTCTACGATCTTGCCAACGTCTACAGCGTCTATAGCGTCTTCTATTAAAAGTATTTGAACCGCATAAAGAATATACAAAAGATGCGGATCATGATTGACACCAAAGCCGCCTGGAGAGCATGCATAATGAGATGATAGAGATAAAGTGATAAATGGCGTAAGAAAAAAATGTGAAATAAAAAGTATGAACAAAACATTATACAAATGTAACAAACCATTTGGTCATTGACAGGACTTGATATAGGCTATGACATCATCTCTATCTAATACATCGACACGATTTATCAAGTCTAAAGCAGTGAGACCCCAGTACACAACAGCTAAAACGAAGGTGTTCCTTCTATTCTAGAGTATCTTTTTCTAGTGAACGGCTGAATATTAGTGGGACTCGAACAATCAGTTTAAAATCTGCATCAAGAAAATATATTGCTACATCCTTATGTATATTCTACCTTATGTACACACTACGCCCGAGTCACAAAGTAGTAAATTAAGAAAGAGGCACTTGTAGGACCTTGAGTGTAGACCGTGTAGTTACCCTGCAGTCACGTCACACAAGTACCCTAAATTTAGGTTGCGTTTTTGATATATCCGCAGTAAACTCACGTTTCACTAATAACCATCCGTTGCGTATTAGCCAATTATGGCTATATTCTAATCAATCCATGATGTCAGACGTATAACCTTTGATATTCTCAAGACTTCTCTTTCTACGACTATACATAAGATGTACTATATATGTAGATATAAATTTGCTTTCTTTATATATAATTAATGGATCTATTAGCTAGTAACAAACAATATTGTTAGCAGTCATAGTAGGCGTGGCTAATAAAGACGATGATGACGTTATTATCTCCAAATACTCGTGCTACGTTCAAGACCAGTAACACCTTTGTAATAATAATAATAATAATAATAATAATAATAATAATAATAATAATAATAATAATAATAATAATAATAATAATAA